AGACCAGCCTCTCTGGGCCGGTGCTCCTGCTGCAGGGCTGGTCCCTGCGTCCCTGTTCCCCCGGGAAGCAGCGCGCTGGTGCGAATGGCCAAGGCTGAGCGCCATCAGGAGCGGCTGTGTGTGCAGAGCCTGAAGCTGCCAGTGCCTAAGCGGGCCCTGCGCCCTGCCCCCTGCTGAGTGCTACTCGCTGGAGGCTGAGAAGCGAGTGCTGTGGAGGGCGGTTAGGATGAAGTCCCTGGAGCAGGATGCCCTTTGCGCACAGATGCTTCTCAGCAAGTGCCACCCCCCGGAAGACCTTGGCCCTCTGACCAGCAGCTCCCCAGGAACGGCTGTCCCCAGATTTTGCTGAGGAACTGAGATGCCTGGAGCCGTCTCCCAGCCCTGGCCTGCAGGAGGAGGACAGAGAGGTGGCCTGGTGCTTCTGGGCAGGCCCTCACTGGATGCCGTGGGCCCGAGGATGGAGCCCTGTGTAGCATCCACCGGCCGGGTCCCTTTCCCAGACTTGGGGTAGCGGCCCTGCAAGCTCCAACGCCACCCTGGCCCCAAGTCTTAACCTGGGTGTTTAGAGACCCCTCAGAAGTTCTGGCCACTGACTTACAGCTCCCTTCCCAGCCAGGACCTCCTGGCAAGACTGTAACTACTGATGTTTGTACAACCAAAGACTATTTTGTTATTTAAGGAAAATAAAATTGACTAAGTTTAAAAAATGAAAGTATTAGAGGCGGATGCAGGAAAGTGTGCAAAGGCCTTGGACCTGGCCCCTGCCTGCTGGTGGCCGGGAGTCTCTGCAGTCTCTGCCTTGCCCCACCTGCTGCGGCTTTCTCCAGAAGGAGGGACATCCGGAAGGGCATCTGGACTAATTAGCATACTATGCTTTTATTATTATATATTTTTTTATTGATTTGAGAGAGGAAGGAAGAGAGAGATGGAAACATCAGTGGTGAGAGATTGGCTGCCTCCTGCACACCCCCTACTGGGGATTGAACCCAGAACCTAGGCATGTGCCTTGACTGGGAATAGAACCAGGATTTCCTGGTCCATAGGTTGATGCTCAACCACTGAGCTATGCCAGCTGGGCATGAAAAGCTACTTTTTAAAGTAGTCATCACTGCATTTGTCTTCAGTGAGCTGAGCTGTAGTTCAGTTAAATAAAAATAGAGAAAGAGCCTGGCAGTTGATTGTTAAAGAGAAGACAAGGCAGGATGTTTTTTTTCTTCATTTTCTCATAATAAGTAGCAACTAGTAAAGTTCATGTGACCTTAATATCTGTTCTTTTTCTTGCCCTCAGTGACTTAGGAAGAGGATCCCTTTTTGTTCCCGACCAGACTGGGCCTCTCTTCTCAAAGTTAGTGCTCGTGGTGTGTCCAGCAGAGGAGCAGACTGTTCCAGGGCATAATGACGGTAAGTCTGAAGGTGGCCGAGCATTAGAACCAGAGCTCTGGGGAGGCTAAGAGATCTGTGAAAGCAAGTAAGAAATATACAGCACGCATGGACAGTCTCCGCTGGAGAGCACTTCCAGAGCTTCCACTGTCATGAAGCAGGTGGCTGTTGGCCAACTTCAGGAATTATACCGAGGCCAGAGGTCTACTCCAAAAAGCAGATCTTGGAGCTGCTATCAGTTCCTGCCCATCCTTCCCAGGGATACCAAATCCCAGATAAAGAGGCACCGTCTACAGAGCATTGAAGAAGCTGTGGCCTTGGTATACCAATTGCGTAGAGTGAATCTGCTTAAATGGGATATGGGTGAGAAGAAAAATTCTTTTTTCTTTTTTTTTTTTGCGAAAAATTTCTGATAAATAACAATGAAATAGGAAGAAAGTAGATATTTGGGGCGTAGGGGAATTTACTTGAGAAATAAGATGAGTTAGGTCAGTGATCTCTTGTTCCTTTGGGCCATTTAAGGCAGGAGCAGAGGCCACAGGCATACATCAATAGTCATTCCACAGATTCCACAGACCCTGGCAGAGACTTCTATGGCCTTAGAAAAAGAATTGTTTTTCCCCCCTCTTTACAGCAGGGTGTGTTGAGAGTAATAAACTTAGTCTGGCTTAACCTATGGGGTGGATCTTAAGTTCTTAAAGACAAAGGGCAACAGGAGTTGGAGAGTAAGGGGAGAACAACAAAAAAATGGATTATACTTGCAGAACAAAAGAGAGAAGATAACAAAGAGGAAAAAGAAAAAAGGGAAATCAAGGTTTGGAAATCCCAACAGAGTGGCTGAGATAAGAAAGTTGTTGAGGGCCCTAATTGCTTTGGCTCAGTAGATAGAGCATCAGCCTGCAGACTGAAAGTTCCCACGTTCTATTCTGGTCAAGGGCATGTACCTTGGTTTCGGGCACATTGGCAGTATGGGGTGTGCAAGAGGCAGCTGATCGATGTTTCTCTCTCATTGATGTTTCTAACTCTCTATTCCACTCCCTTCCTCTCTGTAAAAAAATCAATAAAAATAAATATATATAAATAAAAGAAAGATGTTGAGGGATAGTGTCTTCCATATCATAGTCAAACCCTCCACTGCCCTTCCTTAGTGGTTGGTTCTTGGCTCAGCTGGTGAGTGGGAATCCAGGGAATGTCCTTAGGCAGGTGGCAGCATATCAACTGGCTTCCGGTCTACTGTCAGGAATGCAGGACGGGCCCAACTGGACAGGCCTAGCTTGACACTCAACCTAGAACCAGGAGGTCACGGTTCGATTCCCACTTGGTGGGTTATGGGCTCGATCCCCAGTAGGGGTCGTGTAAGAGGCCCTTATACATCATTGATGTTTCTATCCCGGTCTCACTCTCCCTCTCAAATTAATTAAAAAAATATACATGTATATTAAGAAAAAATTTAAAGAACATATGTTTGGTATCAAATCATTTGGAAGGATGTTGGAACCAAGTTCATTTCTCCCCCTCCTCCATTTTATCAACATTCTCTGATTATAGAGAAAATCTAGTTGATAGGACAGTTAAAATTTTTAATCTTTGGAGAAAAGTATAAGATAAATCACTGCAGTAGAAGAGAGAGGCTGTCAAGACAACACGAACACAGGCGGCCCTCACAACCCTGCTAGTGGTCTGAGTTAGGCTGTATGTAGAGGTGTGAAGGCTACTCTTGGAGGGCTGGCAGTAGCCACATCTTTTTCCTTTTATCCTAAATTTCACAGACTTTCTGGAAAATTGGTGGGTGTTTTCCCACTTCCCACAATCTGGACTGTGTGCCTCTCCCTCTTCCACAAGCCCCAAGCCTCAAGTAATTCTGGTAACATGGATGGGAATTATTTCCAGGTTGCAGTCCATGTGCTGGGAAAGGAGGCAGTGCTCTTGGGAGAAGCAGCAGAGATCTCAGGCTTCAAACTGAGGCCAGCAGAGTCCCAGCCAGTGGGCAGGTCCCAGGATGAAGAATTTTGGAATGAACAACAGCTGAGCAAGAATACTCATAAAGAAACTGAGCCTATGTGTGAGAGGGGTAAGGAGCTTCATGATAATTTCTTTCTGCTGGGAGCTGTGATTGCAATTTGTCCACCAGAACATTGTGGGCACTTTCTGGGTTCCCAGCTTTGTGGCTGTGTAAATATAGTCACATTAGCAATTATGATTACCTCTATCCCCTCCCCTCACAGATGGCCTTAGAATAGACCAGCTGTTGTGAAGGTGGGGATTGGCCTAAGGTACAGAAATATCCAAACCAGAGGACCCTGGTAATAACACCATGAACACTGATCCTTAGAAAAGTGGAGGATTGGGCCACCCCAAGCTCAAATCACAGAAGAAATTGGGATCACAAATGGGCTGTCAGTGGCAGTATGTGAACTATAATTGTGTACCATGAAAATAAGTAAATGATAAATAATATATCTTCTACTGTACACTAGAGTCCCTGAGTATTTCATTTTCAAATCCATTAAATTTTTCTTAATTCAGATCGATCTATCTATATATATAAAAGGCCATTATGCACCCAGGCTGGTTTGGCTCAGTGGGTAGAGCTTCAGCCTACAGACTAAAGGTTCCCAGTTTCGATTCCGGTCAAGGGCATGTACCTTGGTTGCAGGCACATCCTCATTGCGGGGTATGCAGGAGGCAGCTGATTAATGTTTCTCTCTCTTCAATGTTTCTAACTTTCTATTCCTCTCTGAAATCAATAAAAGATATATATATATTTTTTTTAAAAGATATATATATTTTTTAAAAGGCTACGGGATCTACAATAATAATTGCTTCGTGTTGATATTTATTCCAGTGTTGCTGACAGTTATCTGAAAGAGAAGTTGGAGTGCTTCACTGGGCTGGAAAAAGTAGCTAAATCAGAAAGTAGGTCTAAATAAACAAGCTTATCTATATATATAAAAGGCTAAGTTGACTCACGCATGCACAATACATATAAAGCTCTTTTTCACGCCAATCACACACATGTATTTCGATCTATCATTGTTGATCGTGAATTTGATTGACACTTCTATTATAGAGAAAGGGAAAATAGAGATATTAAAATATTTCTTGTAATTAATTTCCTTTCAAACTGCACTGATTTGTGCACCAGGCCTTTAGTTTATCATAAGAGGAAAATAAGAAAGTTTTTTTGTTTTAACTTCATGAAAACTAGGCAACCTGTTCTGGGTTTGATAGATACTTGGTTCTTATTAGCAATGATAAAACCACTTACGGTCACCATACACACTTGAAAAGATTTCCCATCTACTGAATCAAGATTTTATTTTAGCTGAAACTGGTTTGGCTCAGTGGATAGAGCGTCAGTCTGCAGACTGGAGGGTCCCAGGTTCGATTCCGGTCAAGGGCATGTACATTGGTTGTGGGCACATCCCCGGTGGGGGGCATGCAGGAGGTGGCTGGTCGATATTTCTCTCTCATCGATGTTTCTAGCTCTCTATCCCTCTCTCTTCCTCTCTGTAAAAAATCAATAAAATATATATTTTTTAAAAGATTTTATTTTAGAAATGAGCGCAGGATGTGCATAGAAGTGAGAGAAATTTCTGATGGTTCTTTTCCACCCATAGTTGTGCCTACTCACCAGATCTTAGACTTTCCTGAGCAGACAAACACCAAAGACTGGACAGTGGCACCCGAGTTCATCTTGTCTGAGTCCCAGGTGAGCCATGCTTTTGAGCTTTTCTCTGTTGTCCATGACCTACACTGTCCAGCAGGTCCTCAGGGTCATGTTAACCCAGATGTTTTCCCTGGGGAACTGGACACCTCATGTTTGCTGATCCCTTGCCTCTTTCCTTTCTGCGTTATCACTTAAAAAAACACACAACAAAATATGAGCTGGGCCCTGGTGGGGTTGCTCAGTTGTTTAGAGTGTCATCCCAGTATACCAACGTTGCAGGTACAATTCTCTGGTTAGGGCAACATTCAAGAAGCAATCAGTGAATGCATAAATAACTAGAACAGCAAATCAATGTTTCTTTCCCTCTCTCTCACTTTCTTTTCTCCAATCAATCAATAAAAAAATTAATAACAAAAAAAAAATCGTGCTATTAATGCCTTCAGCCTACCATGCAGTTCATGGGCCAGATGTTAGACCTGCTTCTGGAGTGATCAGTACTGAGCTGAAGCCCATTCTTTTCTTTAGAGCTTGTTGACATTTGAAGAAGTGGCCGTGTCTTTCTCCCCGGAAGAATGGGAGTTACTGGATCCCAGTCAGAAGGCCCTCTACAATGATGTAATGCAGGAAAACTATGAGACTGTCATCTCTCTAGGTAAAAGTTCTCCCCTGTGTACAAGTTGAGTGATATGTCATGTTTTCAACTTCCCGGGAATGCACACTCTTGTGAAAGTGTGTGTTCCAGTAGCTGGTTGGTTCTTAGCTCGATGGTGTGGGCAGGGAAAAGGTGAATGCAGATCATTTCGGAGCTCTTTTTAAGGATAACACATTCCTTACCCTGCATAGAATTTTTTACCTCTTTTCCCTCTTCCCTCACAAACCTGTTTCATATCTTTCTCTACTCAGTAAAGGGCACCTTCATCCACCCAGTTTGCTCAGAGCAAGAAAAATACAGTCATCGTTTATTCTGATCTTGCCATGATATCCCACTACTAAGGCATCTCTAGTCCTTTTGAGCCCACATTCACAATATCGTGTGAGTCCAACCATGTCTCATCTTGTGCTATTAACATCGGGTCTAAGCCATCTCTGACCAGGTCTACCTCATTCACTTTCTAACTAGCTCTTCCTGCCATCAGCCTCGCCCTCCCATAGTCTGCTTTCCATGTAGCAGCCAGAGTCTTTTAAAACCTTATCCGATTATGACATATTTTTATTTCAAAATCTTATGATGACTTCTTATCCATTTAGTATAAAATAAAGCCTCATTATCAAGGCTTACAGTACTCTCTCAATCTGGCCTCTATAACTTCTTGCCCTCAGTTCCTGTTCAGTTCTCTTTAGCCACACTATTCTTAATGCTGTTTTTTGAACTTGCCATGCTCATTTGTACTTTTGGTTTCCCTCTACCCAGCACACTTTCCTGCCATGTGGCAAAACTCTCAATTTTAGGTCAATTCAAATATCACTTTCTCAAAGAGGACTTCCACACAGCCTTATCTCGAATAGCTTAATAGAAGTAGAATCTTTTTTTTAAATGTGTGTGTTTTTTAAAAATAATGTTTTCGCCGAAACTGGTTAGAGCGTCGGCCGGCGGACTGAAAGGTCCCGGGTTCGATTCCGATCAAGGGCATGTACTTGGTTGCAGGCACATCCCCAGTGGGGGGGGGGGGGGGTGCAAGAGGCAGCTGATCAATGACTCTCTTTCATCGATGTTTCTAGCTCTCTATCTCTCTTCCTCTCTGTACAAAATCAATAAAATATATTTTAAAAAAATAATGTTTTCATTGATTTTAGAGAGAAAGAAAGGGAGGGGGAGAAACATCAATGAGAGAGAAACTCAATTGTCCCCCATCAGGGATCGAGCCCAATCAAACCAGGGACCTCTTGGTTCATGGTTGACGTTCAACCACTGAGCCATACTGGTGGGGCGGGAAGTAGAACCTTAAATGCTTTCTTGCCTGCTTTTGTTTCTCTTAAAACATTTATCACTTCCTGGCATTTCATTTGATTATTCATGTTTGTCTCACTCTCCCACTAGCAGATAAATTCTCTGAGATCAGGGAACTTTGGCTTATGCATCACTATATCTGTCATTCATAGAGTGTCTGGCACACCATGGCCATTTGATACACATGTTAAAAGACTGAATGATGACTACATCTCATATTTGATAATACATAGTTACAAAAGTCCACTAAGTAATTCTGGTTTGTTTCATTCAATGGGATGTGAACAATGAGCGATGAGTGGTAGAAATACCAGTTTAGTGTCTGGTGTTCAGCTGCTAAATAAAAAGTATGATTATGACAGCAATCACTTACGCATATGATTCCCACCCCACTGGCCTTTACATTGACCCCGCTAGACCAGGTGTTATTCAGGATGAGTCCTAAAGAGTTGACAGAGCCGAAACCGGTTTGGCTCAATGGATAGAGCGTCGGCTTGGGGACTGAAGGCTCCCGGGTTCGATTCCGGTCAAGGGCATGTACCTTGGTTGCGGGCACATCCCCAGTAGGGGGTGTGCAAGAGGCAGCTGATCGATGACTCTCTCTCATCGATGTTTCTGACTATCTCTCTCCCTTCCTCTCTGTACAAAATCAACAAAATATATTTTTTTAAAAAAAAAGAGTTGATAGAAACAGCCTGCATTCCCTCCAACCCTGGAGTTTTATTCCAACTCAGTCAAGTGTGGGGTATTATTGGTGGCAGAAGAGGGGGAAATGCACAGATTCCCATGAACTGTGTCCTTTTGATCAATCAAGCTAGCTAGTTTTTTTTTTTTCTTAATCTCCACTTTGAATATTTATTCACAAATGCAGTGTAGTATCAACCTGGTACCTGATATGAGAGTCTATCCATTTAACCATTTGGGGCAACAAACTGTAAAAGTGTGTTTTGTTGTTCCTGAAATAGTCTATAATTAATGGACATTGTTAAGTTAGCGGTCCTTGACCTCAGTTTTTTCCATTTCATAGCCATATTTGTGTTCTCCAAACCTAAAGTCATCTCCTGTCTAGAGCAAGAGAAAGAGCCATGAGTTCAAGGACAGCCCTGGAGTGCTGCATATATATAAATACACCATGGGAAGACAGGAAATGTGCCCTAATAGGAACATTTGAAAGACTTAACATTATAAGATTCTACTTATCTGTATTGAGTGATCATTGAATTTTTGTCTCTATTCTTAATGTTTCTTTCTGCCATTTAGTTGGTTGATTTTTATGTTTATTCCAACAGGGTTAAGCCTCAAAAATAACATTGAAAATCATCAATCTATATGCCTTTCTGACTTAGAAATGCCAACACCAGATGACATAGTTTCAAAAATGGACAGAGTGAAAGTTCTCCAGAAAACAACAGTCAAAGAGAATCATGGTGATATGCACAAGGTGGGGAAATGTCACCAAGACTTTTCAGTGAAGGAAAGAGAGAAACTTTCAACATGGAGACAAGAGCTACTGAAACTTATAGATCGTCACAAGAAAGAACGTGCAGCAGAGAAGTCTTTTAAATGTCAGGAATGCAGGAAAAGCTTTAGAGTTAGCTCTGACCTTATTAAACACCAAAGAATTCATACTGAAGAGAAACCGTATAAATGCCCACAGTGTGATAAGAGATTTAGGAGGAGTTCAGATCTTAATAAGCACTTCAAATCACACCAAGGGATAAAACCATATAAATGCTCATGGTGTGGGAAGAGCTTTGGTCAAACTTCAAGTCTACACACACACCAAAGAACTCACACCGGAGAAAAGCCCTTTATGTGCCATGAATGTGGGAAAAAATTCATTCAGAAATCCCACCTTATTAAACACCAGAGAACCCACCTATAGCATATGTATGAGAAACTTCAGCAGGTGGTCAAGCCTTCTCAGGCACCAGAAACCACCAATGAAGGGAAGCTTGTTCAATATCTTCAGTCTGAAGAATTTTACCAAGTGGAGCTTGACCTTAAAGTTCATGAAAATGCAAATTTATGAAGCATAAAAATTTTCTCATCTGGAAAATTTGGGGATATAAACTTTCACAGAAAGGAATCAAGCTGGACTCCGCAGGGGACATAGTAGTAGTTATATTATTACTGTTTTTACTTAGTCTTTGGGGAGCTTCTTAGCAAAAGGTATTTGAAAAAACAGTCTGAATGAGGGAAAAATCTGTTTGGGATTGTACCTGGCAGTATAGTACATGAAACTATGAATAGTACATGAAACTATGAATCAATCATCTGTGGTCACAGATATATTGTTCGTTTTCCCAACTACTCATAAAAATGTGATAGAACCATTTGTAGCATGGTCTTTATAACAAAAGCAATAACAGCCTTGTTTTATTGCATACTCTTACTTTAGGGTAATAGGATAATTTTAATAGCCCTATAGGGTAGACATGAATTCTAATGTAAAGTTTTCCAAGAACCAAATTGGATTTTCTTCCTCTCTCGTCATTGGACATCATGTGAGTCCTCTTGAACTTTTTAGCTACTTTAGCTCTTCAATCCTATTAGCACAAGTTTTCTGTGATGGAGTCAGATTTACTTCATCACTAGAGTATCTGCCAAATAACTAATATCTTGTGCCTCTCATTGGTGGTATTTGAGAAAATAAAACATTTCTAGTAGATCATATGGAAACAGTTGAAATTTTTAGTCATGGAATATGTATTAGATGTAAAAAAGAATTTTCTGCAAAGTAAACTGTTTCCTTCCCTCACAAGGTTAACAGGACAAGACAATTATAAAAATTAGCACTTTCCTGAGGCATAAAATAAAATTAATTGGGTTTTGTTTGTTTACTCATTAATTTGACTTTTGTTTTTAAGAACAAGGAATTATGTTTGAGAGGTCTGTGTGATGTAGACAGGATTCTATCTATGGTCATGGTGGGAATTCAGTCAGCCTAAGACCAGGCTTCCAAAGAAATGTTTGATGACTCATGCTCAGTGGTGGACAAATCCACACCCATGTTGGTTGTCTTACACTGTAAACTATTAAACAGGCATGGTCCACCAGTGTCTGTTTTCTCCAGTGCAACAATTAACAATAGCTTTGAGAGAATTTGATAGACTGCTGAACATCTCTAGACTTGAGTTTTCTTTTTTAATTTTAAGTATATTTTTATTGATTTCAGAAAGGAAGGGAGAGGGAAAAAGAAACATCAACGAAGAGAAAATCAAGTGGTTGCCTCCTACATGCTCTCCACTGGGAATGGAGCTCACAACTCGGGCATATACCCTTGACTGAAATTGAACCTGGGACCCTTCAGTCCACAGGCTGATGCTCTATCCATTAAGCCAGACCGGCTAAGGCTCTTAATTTGTTTTAGAGAGAAATATCGACTTGCTGTTCTATTTAGTCATTCACTTACTGGCTTATTCTTGTGTATGCCCTGACTGGAGATTGGACCCGAACTTTGGCAAATCAGGATAATGCTCTAACCAACTGAGCTACCCGGCCATGGCTAGTCTGTAGGTTTTCTAATGCAGAACTTTGGTCTGGGCCTTCTGATTACAGATCCCAGACTGCTCCCTCTGCTCAGCTGCTTCTGCCAGATAGTCATTGATGTTTACGACAAACCTCCTCCACTCAGTGCAAGCAACAGAAAGTCAGATCAGTGTCCAATTCACCCCGGTGGATCCCCAAATTGCCCAGCTTGATGACAACCACTGGGGCACCTGGTCTGTGTTACATGGATAGGTGAACGGAAGACAAGATTAGTATATTCCTTTACCTTTGACTCAGATTGTTCCTTTAAGAGCTTTTAGGTAGTATTAGGAAAAAGGTTAAATATCTCTTCCAAATGTGTTATTTCACAAATGAAGTTAGGGCTCAAATACTCAGGGACTTGGTCTGTTCAAGACCCCATAGCTAGTGGGTCTGTAGGCTGTCACTTAGCTTCATCAGTCAGACCTGAAGGCAGGATTATCAGGACTTTGTGTGTTTCCTCCATGGAGCCAGCCTAAACGACATTGTATCTATTTCCAGCTTATAAAACACTGCTGTTTCTTGATTGGCTACTGAAACACTCCAAGTATCTTAATAAAATAGAGATAACACCTCAGGGTTGATCTGGGGATTACAGGGGTTGATGAAAAAAAAGCACCTATCATCCTGGCTCAATCAGTGTGTGTGTTTTTCCCTGCTCCCTACTAACATGTTGGGTGGACTGAGGAACATTTGTGACTTTTTTAAAATTGATTTGAGATGGAGAGAAAGACATCAATTGATTGTTCCACTTACTCATGCATTCCTGGTTGGTTGCTGTGACAGTTGATTGTTGTATGTGATGCTCTACAGGATGTATTGGTGGCTCTTGCAGCTTTCAGGAGCCGAGCCCTGGGAGTGAGGGAAATGCTGTCTTGGTTTGATCTGTGGCTTCAGTGCTTTTCTGTGTAAATCACTTGAGCTGTCTGGCGCTCTCAGTGGGATTTTTTTTGTTTGTTTTTTGTTCCCAAGATAAACCTGTATCATGTATTTTTAAATCAAGGCCAGCTCTGAATCTCTAGTCTGCATAGCTCTTATCCAACAGCCTCAGCCTTAGATCCCTGGGGTTCTGTCTCATCTCCCAAGATGCATGTGGATTTCTTCCTAGCCTAGCAAATTAAATTAAATTCATTTAATTTGATGAGGGCCTGTTATGTGCGCAGGCAGGGACTGTTGTAGGCCAAGGATATAGTAGTGAACAAAAGGGGGGGGGGAGAATGCATATCCTCATGCAATTAGTATTTTAGTGAAGAGTAAAAAAGATAATGGTTATGCTTTTCTGCTCCTTGCAGTTAGCTCCTCAGGTTGTTCATTGGGTTATGAGCAGAAGCCTCATTTCTGGACTGAAGCATTTATTTGTTGGTGCGGAACTCTAGTACTCTCCTTTCCTTGCCTCAATCATGGAAGCACATACAGAGAGGAGCCATGAGATCAAACCAGTTTGGAATGCTGTGTCTCCCATGTGGCAGGACAGCTGTTCTGGAGAGTCCCCAGACCTATAATGGGCTTTGTGGGAATGAGGAATAAACCCTTGTGCTTAACCACGGAGACATTAGTGTTGTGTGTTTCTACTACATAACATGGCCTGTTTCAAAAAGTTCAAGGTCTTAGTGACACGTCATCTTCTTGATCTCCATGGGCTTGACCCTTGTCACTTGTGGCAATTTTGGCAAAGCTAACCAAGTCTGATTCGTTTCACAATCAGACTCTGCTCTTTCCTGTCAAGGCAACCAACGACAGAAGCGAAGGCTTTGGATCCTGAATTTTCCAGGTGGTGGTGGTGGACTACTTTTCAGCAGTCACTTGACTAAATCTACCCTACGAGCTACTTTCTTAAATCAAGTTCCTTATCTTTATCCTGTTTGTTTTTAATCCTCCCTGGGGATTTTAAAAAAATTGATTTTAGAGAAAGAAAAAAGAAAAACTATCGATTTGAGAAACATGATCTGTTGCCTCCCCTACCTTCCCTGGAGCAATAATTAAATCCATGCTCCACTCTCACCTGCAGCCTAAGAAACACCATAAGGGTGCACTGCGGCTGTTTCTAGGTGGCTGAGAAGGTACATGACACGGGCTGCAGAGAAGCACTGGTCTGCCCCTGCTGCTTTTCCCAGTCTGCTCTTTCCTGTCGGTGCAGCCAGCTAGATACATTGCCCTCTGAATAGGGAGACAAGTTCATGACATTGGAGCCAAAGGTACTTGAGCATTTTGTTATATTCTGCAGTTATGGTAGTCAGTGGATCTCTCTAATACTGTTTCACCACTTAATAAATACAATAGCTTGCAAATATGTTGCAAGGATCAATGTAGATAAGTGTGCTTAGAATAAACTGCTCAGTGTTATGCTTAATCAAAAATGGGATACATAACCTAAGGAGGTGTATCAGTCTATTTCACATTTCACTTCCCTTCATTTACACCCTGATGGACTACTCACCTTCATTGTGCAGCGTGTATTTAGAAATGATTATAGGATGAAGGGGACAGAATAAAGGCAGAACATGTAGAAACTGTTTTTTCCCTTACACTAAACATCCTAACTCATTAGCACCCTCTTGAATATATATCCAGAATATTGCAATCTAGAATAACACATGATTTAGAATAACACATGATTAAGAAAAGTGTCATATCAAAGGGAAATGATTGAAGATTGAATATGTTGCAGTACATACTTAAATGCAGCAGTTTGTGATTTTTTTTTTTAAAGATGAGGTCAATATATTGAAATAAAAACAAAAAGATTGTACATAGGTATAAATACTAGTACAGACTAAGGTCCAGAAAGTTCTACACAGTACTAATCATTTCCTCTGAGGAGTGTAATTTTTAAAAAAATATATTTTATTGATTTTGTACAGAGAGGAAGGGAGAGAGATAGAGAGTTAGAAACATCGATGAGAGAGAGTCATCGATCAGCTGCCTCTTGCACACCCCCTACTGGGGATATGCCCGCAACCAAGGTACATGCCCTTGACCGGAATCGAACCCAGGACCCTTTAGTCCCCAAGCCGATGCTCTATCCTCGCCACTGCAAACACATGAGTAGGAGAACCCTGATAGTGAGGCCTCCTTAAATATCTCCATTTCCGTGGCATTTTAATTGACTCAGTCATCAAATCTAACTTCATTCAAGCTCATATCCAAAGCCCTTCAATAATATATCCATTCCAAGCCAGACTGTCCCAAACAGGTCACATTCAAGCCTAACTCATTGCCTTTGCCCAGGATTTTGGAAAATTTAATTTTTGCCTCTGTGCAGAGTATGTAATTATGTGTCTTTGGGAACTAATCTACATAGCTTGTTATCAGGGCCATGCTTAAGGACACTGTGTGCAGGGAATTTTGGAGTAG